CTGGTAGTCCCGCTCTATATTCAACTCCTCTCTGGCTTCTTAGACTTCTCCCAAGTTGGAATTCATCCACATCTATTATTAGGATCACATGTAGAGTTATTAAGTTACCATAATAAAAATTATTATTATCCTTCATAAAGACTGCTTTCTGAGAAGCCTTTCTTCCTTTTCTTCAAGTAGCACCATCTGCTGAAGAAGCCTCAGGAGGAGGTCAGGGCAATGGAGTGGGGTGTGAGTGGGAGAGGGGAGGGAAGCAGCCACCAGTGCCTGTTTAAAAGAGAAGGGTGGGCAGATGGAGAAAAGAGGTCTTTTCCACCGTGATGGGATTCCTTTCCTTGAGAAGGAACTCCCTGACATTTAGAAACCAGGCTAGACACCAAACATCAGACTTCCCACTGACTTGTGCAACTAGAAGAATAAGCATCAAACAGAAGTGTCTCAGCAGGAAATAAAGACACAGGAGGCCAATAAAGTTAGCATTTACTTTTAAGAGTAGCTTTTTTTTTTCTCTTTTAAAGATGACTTAGAATTTACAATAAGAAAGTTTTAACAAATTTCTTATTCACAAAAGACTTATTTAACAATTTCTGCCGATAAGTAACATTTTCCACCGTTTTCTTTACTGTAACTGAAAGCAAGCAAGCTCTAAGCATAAGCAAATAATCCATCATTCAGAAGAACCTTTAAAAAAATGATACCGCCAACTAATCTCATGTCTGGTGGCCTCACTTGGGAATAAAATGAGGATCTTTCCTTGGCAAATACCTGCTGACATTGCTAGCAGGAGAATAACTTGATCACAGTGTACTGAGAAAGAAAACTGAGGCATTTGTGATGGCATCTTCGCAGAGATTCTTTGACCAAAAAAAGCTGCATCTTTACTGCCCCAATTAAAAATCTATGATATCCCCCCTCCTTATTTCATGCACTTCACTTTAACATGCAAAAAAGAGAAAAAGGTTTTTGGGAGACACCGATGTCAAGGGAGTGAAGGGAATCAGCAAGAACTTACAGGGAGGCAGCGTGACTGGCCCCACTTCAGAGCCGCTCACAGGGATGAGCCACGTTCCATGTCCACGCTTCTGGATCCCAAGCCGCTTGGACTTGCCGGGAGGGTGTGGAACAGAAGATGCATAACCCTGTCTCAGGTGAAGGTGTTACTGAGCAAGTCTTGCCACAATTGTTGGTGCGGGAGGCCAAGGTCCCCTGGGAGGGACTCTACTCTCCAGTATCACCTTTACCTTTGTGACTGCATAGATGAAGGCAGCTAGCCCGGACCCCATTCACTCTGACTGGCTGGACACAGGCAGGGCAGGTCGCAAGGCTCACAGGAATACAGGTTCCCTCTTTCACACTCCATCAATGTTTGTCCAAAGCTCTATTGTTAATATAGTTCTCTGTTTGACTCAGGATAAGAGCAACATGCCTGTTTTTCAACCACACAACTCATGTTCTTCCTCTACACACATCAGTTTTCTTATGGCCTCCTGTGAGCGTCCGTTCACAGCAATTCTGTGCAAACATGAGGCTTTGGAACTAGCTGCAGAACCCTCCCCGGCTCCTGCTGGGGCTCTAAGCCACTTACACTTGTCATGAGAGTGTAGAGGAGCTGCCTTCCACTCCCTCTGATGGCAGATTGCAGAAAAGATGTGGACTGGGTGCAAGATACGGCGGAACCCATGGTTCTCTAGCCATAAACGAGCCCCCCGACTACGGTTCTGGGCTCACCATCCCTCTGAAATCTTTTCTGCCTGGATTGGGAAAGTTGAATAAGGCTTTGCAAAAACACTTTGGGTTCTATAGTTACTATAACAACTACAAGAAATAAGAGGGATTCTAGAATAATACCTCAACAAGTCTGCATGGGATTGTAAATAATTTTCAAGTACAAAAGCTGGAGAGAAAAGCCTGATATTTAATACAAAGAAAAATTATGAATTAGTCAATCTGGGGCAAGCTCTTAACCATTTTAACTGACTGTGATCATCCAGATTGGTCAGGAGGAATTTAATTCTCAAGAGCTTGAGTTTTATATTTGTAACTATGGTACAATCAAAAATCCTAGAGAAAGGTTACGATATTTACATAACACAGGGCGAGGGTGGGAACAGAGGTCAGCCTTCCTGGCTGAGAGGCTAGAGACCCTGGTCCAGGACCTCCAGCAGCAAGCCCAGGAGTCCCCCACAGACTGGTGTGTGCGTGCACGCTGACAGCAGCTGCCTCCCCCTGTCTTAAAGTTACTCAGAAGAGGCTCTAAGGGACACTTCTGGGGCTGAAAGACCCCAAAGCTTCTAATTTTAACAACCCCCACCTGTGCCCCTGAATGACACTGAATAATAATACTCTCTTGACAAGACAAATAAGGATTTTTTTCTTTTCCTCTTTTGCAGGTGTCAGGAAATCACACCTAAGTTATCAGGGTAAGAAAGCCAGACTTTGCTATAGAAACTTGCTTCACTGAATTGCAACTATTATGGAGGCAATACAAATAGTGATAAATGGCTATGAAAAAAGTGCTGACACCCCTGGACAAACTGATTCTTCTAGGCAGGGAGCTATATACCGAGCCCAACAGGGTGAAAAGCAATGTTCACCTTGCTGGTCAATATCCAGTCACAGAAGGCCAGAGAATCAGTAATGTCTATACCTATAACCTTGATGTTCTAAGAAAAGGTCTTCAGGAAAACTGAGGTCGCATTTGTTATGCACACAGACAGGTGCATGTACACACACACACACACACACATACACACCACTGGCTTGTTTTGCTTTTGTTCTATACATTCAGAACAGACATTTAAAAAAATGTATGCTTTGAACTTATGTTAGATTGTTAGATGAGTTTTGAAATATTAGAAAAAAAGCCTTCTGATCAATTAAAAGATTCCATATGATGTGCCTGTAAACAGAAGTAGCAAAATTGGACCATGGGAAGTTTCATTTCCAAAGTGGTATTTAGAAGTGGCTTTCTTTCCCATCTCACCTCAGATAAGGGAAATCAGAGGAAATAATGTCCTAGTAATGTAAAGGAGAACACAAGCAAAGTATTTTCTCCCTTCAAAACTAGCTTGGCTTTAAAGACCCTAAGCTGGCAGAACTCTGACAGGAGCTGAACTGAAGTCCGAAAGGACAACCCCAGGGGCAGTCACAGTCCTCAGCAGACCCAGGACCGGCAGCCAGCGTCTGGGCTATATGATTAAAACATTAAAAAATGTGTCAAAGTTTAAGTGAAGAACAAGTACTGTTATTACAACACACCCCAAGAGCCGAGCCCTCTACACTGTCTTGACCCCAGAACAGATGCAAATATAGGTGCAGTGACTGCTGGTCTCACCTTAAGAAGCTGTACCACGTAGACACGCTCAACTTTCTGAATGACTTGGGGTTCTGTAGAACCCCAAGGTTCTACAGAACAAAAGAAATACTCTTATGCTATAACAGAATTTTCAAACCAGCTATTTTTAAGAACTGTTGCTGTTCTAGTTCAAACTCACTCCAATTTTCTTCATTCATGAAGTCTTGTCTCTCTACTCTGGCTGATCCCTCAGCAGTGCAGAAGATAACCTGTAAAATATACCCCCTTGCCAGGCTTCTGTCAAGGAAACATGCTTTATCATACAACTTATTTCTGAGAAGATAATGAAGACACAGCCCTAAAAACTGTCCTTTTACCTTTTACCTGTAAGATGTTTTTTTTTTTTTTTTTGGCTTATGTGGATCTGTAATAACTAGTTCACTACTTTTTTTTTTTTTTTTTTTGGCTTATGTGGATCTGTAATAACTAGTTCACTACTTGCCTACTAATTAGAGATAGCCTTTACGAGTAGTTTCTATCTATGGATTGTGTGTGTGCAGAACAATACTGCCTGGATGAAAAGGACAAAGGTGGAGCCTCCACCTCTCGAATCAGTCACAGGGACTGGGAATGCTTTCGGGGAGACTTCCAAAGGCATCTGTCTGGGGAGGGAAGAATAGGAAGATGTTCAACTGAATTCCCTCTTTGAAAATAAGGAAATCATGATTACAAGGACAGCTCCTAAACCTTTCTTCTCTTTCTTCACAGGTGTTAGAATCACTAAGAAGTCTTTTCTTACTTCCTTTACCATTACCTTTCCTGTCTTTTTAAATTTTTATTTATTTTTTTAAAGATTTATTTATTTATGCTTACAGGACTGGGGTACAGGCCAGAGGTAAGGAGCAGCAGGAGGGTCAGGAGAGGTCTGCCAAGCCATGGGGGTCACCTCCCTGGCTGGGGATCGAACTGCTGCTGCAGTGGCTTCAGAGAGCTTCACAGTGCCATGCTTTAACCCGCTGCGGCACCAGGGAGGGCTCTCCTATCTTTTTTTATTATCAAAGCAAAACATGCACCTATTCCCATCCTCCAAATGCTTTGATCTCTGTCATAAACACACTGGGAACTACTAGCAAAAGGTACAGAAAACAGCTGTGCTAAGTCCTCATTCTTCTAATTGTTATTTTGAAATGGTTTCTGCTTTCCTTCACGCTCCCTCCATGAAGTCCTACTGTCTGAGATTCTTGCTTCAATATAGGATCCCACATCCCAAAAGATATGAAAGAGTCCCACAAATAAGAATCTCCACACTCTGGTAGTGTTGCCCAGAGGGCGCACTCACTGCCAAGCTGCGGACTGGGTCACGACATGGCGCCTGTCACCAGGCTGCACCGAACGGAGAGCCTAAGGGTCCCTGAAACATCTTTCATTAGTTGGTTGTGTGTGAAAATTGAGGGAAGACTATTCAGACACTATATCTGACTAGACGTCCTGAATCCCAAAATAAACTGACAGATACACTTCGACCTAACGAATGCTGAAGAACAGAGGAACATCCCAGTCACTGATATGGAAAGAGGAAATCCTCACTTTCCCAGTGCCCTTCAGCACGACTTCCTATTCCCTCTTCAGTTTCCATTTCCTCTGTCGGTTCCCGAAATCCTAGTATAAAAACAACAGCGGCGCGGCAGGGGAAAAAAACGAAAAACCCTAATAATGGGAGGGCCCCGACAACTCCTCACTGCTGAAGGTGCCGCGATACACAGCAGGTGGCTTTCTTTGTGGGTGGGGTTAAATCACGTAGGTTTCAAAAATGAAAGCAAAAGTATTTGGCGATAGGTAAAGCTTTCTGAAAATCTTTTTCTCCCAAAAGTTCAAAAGGGAAATTGAAATGAACACATTTCAAGGGATTCTAAGAAAATCCCTCATTAGTTTTTATTTTGCTTTAATAGAAGATACTAATAGCAACCGAGAATCCAGAAGAAAGTAAGTTATTATGGAAAACATTCTTCTTGGCCTTTCAAATCACTAAGTTTAAGTTATTCACCTGGAAGTTTTACTATCATCAAGTTTTCTATTGAGAAGAAATGTTTTTGCCACTGAAATCTGAGAGATTCTTGATATATAATAGTGCCCTGTAGGAGAAAAAAAAATAAAAATAAAATAAAACCCCCTTATGTTTGAAAAGTTATTAGTCTGAAATTAAAGATACTGCCTACTAAAAACAAGAGAAAAGGCTAGCTAGTTCAAGTCTGAAACCTAAAGTGGAGGTTTCCAAGGCCCTTTTATTGGGGGAAGGTCCCCTTATAGCACAAGACTTCACATGTGTATTGACAACAACCAGATCAATTCCTAAAAATTAGGAATAAAAGGGAAAAACAAAACAGATGTACTTCTTATATATAGTGAACATAAATTAAAAGAATTTATAAAATGGTTGCCTTTCTTACAGAATAAATGCAGAGTGTATTATGAATGCACCTCCAGGTTTAAATTGTTTTGTTTTCCAATAATAAATAAATAAAATTTGTTCTGAGGTTCTGGATCCACCTCACAGCAGGTTGAGTCATTACTGGCTTTTCTTCCCTGGGTCGCTCTTGTGTGCAACGTTTGGGTGGACAGGGTTTACCAGTTTCACGGGCCCGTCGGGGTGCTGGCTGTCTTTGCGAGGAGGCATCCGCTCATTTATTCGGTCTAGGCCTCGAGCTTCTTCAAAACTCCGGATCCTGTGCTGAAGTGAAAACCCTCTGATGGCTACAGAAAGGAGCGAAGGAAGGAGTTAATTAGACGGCATCTCGCACAGAGCCCTTAGCCCCTAGCAACCTCCTAGGAAAAAACACAGAAGGGTAGCTATGGAGCACATGTCTGGTGACTGTCATGGGCAGTATTTGATCTGAATCAGTGTTGTCTGAAGCAATTGGTTCCTTAAGACCCAAAGGGGTAGCCAAAACGGTGGAAGTAAATTCCACAGAAGCTCAATGCAATTAATCATGGCAGAAGGATACCTGACGAAAAGCTAACAAGTTCTTACTCAGCCCCAACATATTTGAGAAAGTTTCTTAGGAACCAGAAACGTGCTCAACGGCAGAAATCGGGCAACAGAATAGAACAAGTTAAACAGAGTAGTAACTTTAGCACAAACATCACACTAATCACAAAAAAAAAGAAAAGAAAGAAAAGAAAAAACTACTGAGAAATCTGGTCTTTTTATTTAAAAGGACAGCTGGTTTTTTTTTTTTCAATCTTGCACAACCAGGAGCTGAGTTAAAGTTTAAAAGCCATTAAATAGCTTTTAGATATTTTCCTTTCTGGTTGAACTTTCCTATTATCAAAAAGCAATATTCCCATTTTGGACCACCTTAACAAAACAACTAGGTTTTCTTTAGATTTATAATTTATTAACTAAAATTTGTTTTCAAAGGAACAAAGATAATTTGGCTCGACTGCCCTGGGGCAGCCTCAGAAGTGTAAGTTTGCTTTCTTGCTAACTAATTTTGCCTCTGTTCTTGAAAGCCACTAGTTACAGAGGCTCGCCAATCTCTAGAAACCAAATGAGTACCTTTTGTGCATAGAAGGGACAGGGGATTTAAGTCATTTGACCCTCATGACCAGTTGCTGAAGTTTCAGCCACTGTATTTAAACTGAGAGAGCCCAGAAAGCACTCTAGCTGTGGCAAGGGGCATTTCAATAAACACAAACACAGGACACGAAGTAAACACTTGCTTCCAGGGCAAGCCTAGAAATACCTGTTCATTTTCTCACTAGTTAACAGTTCTGGTGATGCAAAAATAAAAGATCTTAAATGTTGACAAAGCTTGTTGAAACTAGTAGACAGACACAAGATGACATCTATCACAGGAACATGGCCATACCTTCCCGGGCCTCTACCGCTTCTACTGTGGCTGTAAGAGCAGGAGCAGTGGCATGCAAAAATGAAGACAGAAAAAGAGTGAGTCAACCAGCACAGACGTCCCCGGGGCCCACCTGGTAGCTATTCCCACCCAGAAAAAAGTCAACTAGTTAGAGAAGCGAGAGGATTATTGCGAAAAACTAAATGGGGTGGGGGGCTATTATGCATTTGGGGAGAGTTTCTAATATTTTTAACAGTTCAGGTGCCATGGGAACCTTTTCAGTCAATGGCGTCCCTTGCTGAGACCATGGAGCCCGTCAAGGTGCCTGAGAAAGCAAGCGTCATGCTGCCTTCCTCATTGTAAGTAGCAGCCACTAACTTATGCCTCGATGTTCATATATTGAAATAAACTTGAGTCAAGTCAGTAAACAGTACAACATCATTTAGATGATCGTCAAAGAGCTGTTGTTGAGTCCTACCCAAAAACTTATTTAGAACTAGTTATTGTCCTCAAGCAATTTATGTAGGGTCTAAGTGTCCTTCAAATTACTTAATGAAAGAGTGGCCTTTGATTGACAGATTGGAATTGGAAAGAGAAAAATGGGTTAAAAGGTAGGGAATAGTACAAAATGATGTAAAAATAAACTGTTATAAAAAGAAAAAAAGTTACGGAATATTTCTTATCCGGGGTGGAGTACTAAGCTAGCAAAAGCATAAACATATTCAACTCCAGATACAAATTCATGTACCATCTGGGATTAGAGAGACAGCAGAGGCTGGCATTTCCAACCCATATGGCCTCCATTCACTGTGCAAGAAAGCAAGTCAATCACTAAGAAGGACTTCGCCAACGACTTAGACATTATTCCAACAGGTGAACCTCCATGCCTCTTCTTTGTAAGACAGTAAAAGTTCTAAAAATGAGACGGTCACAGGTTGTAGAAAAAAGATCGTGTTGGGAGAACCCTGTCCTTTAAATACCAATTTTAAAAAGGCGGCAGGAAAGAATAATGAATAGTAGCAGTTTGCTGTTCATGAGGTTTCATATATGGATGGGAAAGAAAACTGGAAGAACTGAAAGTTTCCTTCGTGATGCAGGCATCTGTTAAAGCCATGACACCCCCTCTCAAATGGCCTCAAATAGAACAAATAAACGTTCACAAGATAACCATAGCACCTGCAAACTGCACATCGCAGACGCAACTGCCTGGAAGTGGGCGAACAAAGCGTTGCCTCGCGCTGTCTGTGCAGTGCTGGCCTAATCAGAGTGGGAGAGTGCACACGGGCATTCCACCACCGGGGCATCCTGGCATAGCTTTTTGCACTGGGTATGAAGGTATTGGCCTGTACTAAGGTACAGTATAAGAAACAGTCACGTAAACTTGAGAAACTGTTTTTTTTCCTTTACTGAAATACATTTACCTGTAAAGAATATTATATTTCTTTCTTTTTTTTACTATGGAACACTTCATGAATTTGCGTGTCATCCTTGCCATGCTAATCTTCTTCATATCGTTCCAATTTTAGTATATGTGCTGCCAAAGCGAGCACAAGAATATTCTATTTCCTTACCGAAACTCAATTCATAAAAATAAAATTAATTTCTTTTAAGTTGTACAATTCAATGAGGATCATGTATCTAGAGTTGTGTCATCATCAGTACAAATTATGGTTCGAATATTTTCATCCTCACAAAGAGGAACATCATTCCTCCCTCTACCTCTACACTCTTTCTATTTTGTGTCTTAATAGGTTTGCCTGTTCCAGACATTTCATATAAATGGAATCAAATCATATGCAACTTCAGTGACTGACTTCACTTAGCATGCATCAGTACTTCATTCCTTTTGTGACTGAATAGTATTCCACTGTTTGTATCTCCCACTTTGTTTATCCAGTCATTCATCAGTTGATGGACATTTGGGGTTATTTCTACTTCTAGACTATTTTAAAGAATGCTGCTTTGAAGATTCATGTACTAGTTTTATGCAGATATGTTCTCATTTCTTTGGGTTATTAGAGTAGGAGTAGAGGCACTGAGTCATATGATACCTGCATGTTGAGTCATCTAAGAACCTTACAGATTGGTTTCTAAAGTAGTTGAACTATTCTATATTCCTACCAGCAGTGCACAAGGATTCAGGTTTCTCCACATTCTCACCAACACTTCTTTAGCATCTGCCTTTGATATCTCAGTCATCCTAGTGGATATTTCTTATACTCTTACAATATCAACATTTTTTCACATATTTGTTAGCCATTTGCATGTCTTCTTTGGAAAAATGTCCATTCAAATTTATTACCCACGTTTTTTTAAAGATTTATTTGTGCATACAGAACTGGGGTACAGGCCAGAGGTGCAGGGGTGGTGAAAAAATTCACCAGAGACAGAGCGGGGAGCAAAACAGGCCAATGATGAAGTACACTACTGAGGGGAGCAGCGGGCAGGTCAGGCGAGGTCTGCCACGCCATGTGGTCACCTCCGGGGCGGGGACTGAACTCATGCTGAAGTGGCTTTAGCTTCTTATTGCTGTGCTTTAACCCGCTGCGCCACAGGGGAGGGCCCATCACTCACCTTTTAATGGGCTATGTATCTTTCTGTTATTCAGCTGAGAAAGTTCTTTACATTTGCTGGATACAAGTCCTCTCTCTATTATATCAGGTATACTATTTGTAAATATTTCTACCCATTCTGTGGGTTGTCTTTTCACTTTCTTGATTCCATTTGTGGCATGAAAGTTTGATTTTGGTACAGTTAACATGGCTGATTTATTTCTTTTTTTAATCTTACGGTGTTGTGAAGCTTGTTTAGTTGTTGACTTTCCTCTAACTTTAGTTATTATGAAGCTTGGAGTCAAATCTGTGGTTAATGATTTTTTTGTTTTGTTTTGTTTTTCTTGGTATTTCAATATCCAAGCACATTTATTTTATTTCACTATGCTTTATGTATAATGTAACTCAAACCCCTCTTAGAGTAATGTGGGACATCTGTTGTAAGGGCATGTGGAATATTAGTGGCTTAAAATTCTCCATGTAAAGTTACAGGGACATGCAATTTTTGGGATAATGCTGCAGTTTGCCAATAAAACTATAGAGTTGAGACATGATAGGGCAATAAATATATACTCAATTCCTGTCTATCAATGAAAAAGATAGGCTCTAAAAAGTTGACTCCAACATTCCTTTTGTTCTTCCACTTTCCTGAGGATTTCTAACAAATTTAGAAATACCCATAAAGAATCCAGTAATGACTAATCAATACTGTATCCAGTGAATCAAAACTGGATACACTGTGGACTGAGAGTAAATTTAGATAGAAAATTATAAAGAATTTGCAAGCAACAATTCTATACAATTCCCTTTGTAGTCTCTTCATATTTTATCTTTCAGAGCCTAGGAAAATTTGATTCAGATTAAAACTTATGGATCAGTAAATTTTCCATACTTTCATGTAAGGACACTTTATAAGCCATCCCATCTTCCCTTTTGTTAACCCATGTTACCTCCTGTTAACACTAAATTGCCATGTAGAGATATTCTCAGAATATCTCCCAGGACTGACTACCAAAATAATGGTAGAAATGTATTTTTACTTAGAAGAAACTGAACATTTATTTGAGAGACAAAAATTCAGCATGAACTAGCTTGCTGATCTTTTCTATGAAACTATTAAAATTAGGAAAACTAATTATGCACTTCCGAGGAGAAAATGTTCATTCTTCCTTCTGAACAGCTAAACTCTAAAATTCTAGTTTTCAATTTTAAAAAGGAAAAATTCAATTCTATAAAAAAGAAGAGGGAGGGGGTTGTCCCCAGTGGTGTAAGGGTTAAGTCTTAGCATTATGACCACTGAGACCGAGTTTGACTCCCAGCCAGGAAGCTGGCCCATATATGGCACAGCAGACCTCTC